TAGGTGAGGTATAAGAGTTCATCTTCTTCTCATTTCACTCATTCCTCCCTTCCTTCCTCCTCATCTCACTTTGCCTTGTCATAAGTCACAACAGGTCGCCAGCACAACAGCACCCTCGCCTCAGACAAACACAATCATGGCTTTCCTCTTCACTTCCCTCACGCTGATTGCTGGCCTCCTTATGCGCACGACACTGGCATTCTCCGGCAATTTTGAGCTCACCAACCTCGTCGTCTCCTCGCCTTTCCAAGCAGACCCCTACTCAGTCGAGAGCACCTATGTCGAATGTGAGTGCATGGCCGTTGAATGAAGCTCTTCCATACAAGCTGACCTGACGGGCATCAGTCGACTTCTGTGACCAAGACACACCTGAAGTCGGGTCCACACATTGCGGCGTTCAATGGCCTGTTGGTTTGAGCCCTCCGAAAATCAGTCCCAACACCTGTGACAACACCAGCTTCAGCGTCACCGTCACGTCGTGGTCCGGTGTGGCCAATCTCTCGTTGAAGCTGGGTCACCAGTACATCGACGACAGGTCCGTTCACCTCTTGACTTTCTCGTGTCCAAAAGACGGTGCACAAACTGACCCTTGAGACAGCGTAGGGAAGACCCCGTACAATGTCCTCAGCAAGTACGCCAACTTCAACCTCACCTACCCACACACTCCTTTCTACGAATGTGACATGACCAACGCCGAATGCAAGAGCTGCGACGGAGAGACCATTCTCGTCAACGTCACATCCGCAGTCGCTTGAGCTAGCGGATCCGCATCGAAGCTCCAGACTGTCATGAAGAATCGCACTACAATGTCACGAGTCACGAAGTCCGGAATAGGAAGAGATGCCGTCGAGATGACTGCAGGTACGGGTGGCACATAATCAGACACTATGCAAGCAAAACCTTGCTGCTGGATTAATGCATAATGGAGGCAAGAAAACAGAGTTCGACGACCATATCCAGTAGTGTTTGCATGTGCGTAAAAACGCGGAGATAGGGATGTATTGAGACACCTCTGCCACGAACACGACATGTTAGGTACCTAGGTAGCCGTGTGTCGAAGTACCAACAGTCACAGATTCGGATGTATGGAAAGTCAAGACGAGGACTACGAGGTCATTAGTCAGCCGAATTCTTTTCTTCCAGTCTCGTTCGACGAGGTATCAGTTCCAGGCGAATTTGTCGTCCAATGAGTGAAATCCGATGAATTCCAAGCACAACTAGGTCCTCTGTACTACTTCGCAGTTGATGCATACGCGGAATAGTGTTTGTGCATAACGCAGGACTGCTGCTCCCAACCAACCCCCGCTCATTACAAGCTGTAAAATGCAGAACTACAGTACGAGGGTACAGCGTTAAGAAGTCGTCGACTTTCAAACGCGGAGCTTTCGTCAAAGTCAAGCCGGCAGCGGCGGGACGAGCCCGCTGCCCATTGAAGCGTCGACTCCCTCCTCCTCCTCCTCCCCATTGACAACTGGCAATTGACAAGGGTTCAATTCAACTGGACCACTTCGTGAGCACGAGTCTGTCTGCCTGCTTGCCTGCCTGCCTGCCTGCCTTTCCGTCCTTCCATTACACGGTAATTAACTGCTACCCCTCGCTCGGCTCTCCCTGCTGCTGCTGCCGCTGCTGTTGCCGCCGCCGCCGCCGCCGCCGGGTTGATCGGGGTTTGTTCGCCCACTCACGCCTGCTTCTCAGCCCGGCCCATCTCGATGTCGGTCTTGGGCCAGAAATGGCTGAGGTCGCCGACGGGCAATTTGATCGCGAGGCGCATTTCCGCCGCCATCATCACAAACGTCATGTACCAGCCTAGACAGGCGACGATGAAGAGTAAGGCCCCGCCAGTCTACAGCGCACACACAGAGAGAGGGTGGTTAGCCCGTGATGCACAAAACGAGGATATGCAGATACGCAGATATGCACATATGCACATATGCAGATACACACATGCAAACGCACATACAAACGCAGGCGCGCACGCACGCGCGCCTTCGATCGTAAGAAATAGAACAAAAACAACAGGGACTCACCTTCTGTAGAGTCGCGGCCTGTGCGTAATCACCCGTGCTGACCTTCCAGTACGCGCCCGAGAGCACCCAGGCGCCGAGGGTGACGAAGAGGAAAATGCCCGCGAACACGGCGTTGGTCTTGAGCGTGAAGATGAAAAAGGTGAACAGCGCGAAGCCCCACACGATGAGGTACAGCGCGATCACGGCGTTGTATTCCTTGGTGGCCGCGCCGGCCACGGCGTTGGTGCCCGTCGTCGAGTACGGCGCCGCGAGGCCCAGCGTGGGCAGCTGCAGCATGCCGAAGGAGAGCCAGAAGACGGCGAAGAGGCCGCATACCATCTAGAGAAAAGCGAAGAGAAAAAAGGTGAGCACCCGCGAGCAATCTCATGATTTGAAGGAAGGGGGGGGAGGGAGGGGTGTATTTTGAACTTACCATGGAGAAGAAGTTGCCCATGATCCACTCGAAGATGGTCGTCAGGGTGAGCAAGAGCGGGCCGACGAAGAAGAAGATGCCGCTGTAGAGTGTGGAAAAGGGGCGTCAGTCAAAGTGTGTCTGTACTTGTGCCGATACTTGCGGCATTGGACGATAGACGTGTCCATGCATCCGCCCCATCCGCCACATTCACTTGGTGTGGAAAAGTACATACACGACAGGGGACAGGCCGCTCGCGTCGCCCCAGCCCATCATAACCATTGAAAAGGTGAACGTGGAGATGACGAAACTAGAGGCATTTGATAGTCAGTACCGATTTTCTCGCATCCCGTCCGGGAGTCTGGGGAGTGTTCGATTTGCGCAAGAAAGCCAAACGCGAACAGGAGCATACCCGACGAAACCCAGCGGTGTTGGATTGGCGAATCGCCTAATATTGTCGCCGGCATGGGGAGTCTTGGGCGTGAGATAGAGCTGTCCCGGGGGGTTAGCATGGTATGTAGGACAGTGGTAAGTCAGTGACTTTGGGGATGACACGACACGCGGCGCTGTACAAATTACAGAGCCGCGCGTCGTCCGTATGTGCGCGCGCACCTTTTCGAAGAGCTCTGGGCTCATTGACACGGCGCCCGAGGAAATCGTGTGCGTCAACTTTGGCTTCTCATAGTCTCCCTCGATGATGTCCCTCTCCGTCGAGGTCGGTGTATGTTCAAGGGCCGCCATCTTGTGCGTGTACGGAGGGCGAGTTCGTGTTGCTTGTTATGTGACAGATGTAGAGCAGAGCAAAAGCTAACAGCGAACAATGACTGGCAATGTACAGAAGGGGGTGGAAACAGGTTGGGAGCTTTGCACGAAGGCACTCGACTAGCTATATCAGAAAAGCGCGAGCGAGCGATCGATCGGTCAAGGCCAGAGTCATGGCAGCCCAGCCCACCACGGATTCCGGCGTCTTGCTTCGTGTGCGCCGTGTCCTGCGAAACCCTCCCCAGACAGCGCGCCAGGACTGATGGAACGTGGGGCCTGGACAGAAAAGCAAGAGGTCCCAGACTTAGTACCTTCGCTAGCCAACGCCCTGGGGTGCGAAGTGAGAACCATGGTCCTGGTGTGACTGGCCAGTGGTGGCTTGCTGACCCCATCATGCACCAGGCATCCTCTGGTGCACAACGCATCCGGGGTACTGGGTAGTGTATCGGTCACAAAAATAATTCCACTGACTGACTCTTCTGGCGGAGAATGGGCTCGAACGGCGGGTGGCTTGAGAGAGACCAGGGTGGAAAGTCCTGGACTCCTGGTGTCTAACTTGGACGGGACAGGACTCTTTGCGAGGACTGCAGTCGAGACACCCGGCAGCGCCAATGATAGAAAGGCAAGGCGTGCGGTGACTGTTCGAATTCGATCCTCAGGGACGAATGGACCAGCATGTTGGTGTCCGCATCGGCTTGGAAAACCCCGCAAGGAGATGTTTCGGTCGTTTCTGCCAATAATGGTGGCTTGTCAGCATCACCGCGCAGGGCACCACAGGCGCCATACTGGGGTACAGTGTGGACGGCGGACTGGACAGGTGCTGGCCCTGTGCGAGCGCGTCCAATCCCTCCAGCACTTCCCCTTGAGATCATGTGGAGGATATGGAGCTTGACGGAAGGAAGCCAGTCACGATCGTACCCATCCTGCAAGTGGCATCGAATACGAAGCTACCAATCTTCGGAAATGCCCAGTAAACCTTCCCCGCAGAATTGAAAGGCAAACAGGTGAACGTGGAGGCTGGGGTTGGACGCTGGGGCCAGCGGAGGAGCCTTGACAAAGTGGAATTGGATGCGAGTGAATGGGGGCCACAGTAAGCCACAAGCTCCCTCCATTCGCCGGCCGAAGCAGCGGTCGACGCAGGCCAGTCGAAGCGAAGTCAGTCTGATCGGGTGACCGGGTGACCGGGGGATGTGCCTCATTCGGCCTTTGATGATGCCTACGAGTACACGTTACCGACGAGGGAGAAGACGACGAGACTGCATTGGACACGAGACTTGGATTGTTGTTGTCGTGCTGGCAAAGTTCGTCCAACAACGCTGTCTCCGGAGCGGCCGTGGGGCGTTTCTGCCGACGATCAAGGCTAATGGCACGCCGTTGCGTCCGGGAAGCTCTCTCCGTTGGCTAGCGTGTCCATGGAGCAGGCTTGCAGGACGTCCTGCACTATCCTGGAGGCGAGGGGATGGAAAGGGTGAAGCACGTTGATGGACTGTAAGAGCTGAAGGGCCGTGAGAGATTCGACGTGATATAACAATTATAACATCTGGGTACCCGGCTGCTGGCTAGGCTTACCCAGTACTCCGTACGAGGCACAAGAGGGACAGCAAGTTGCACCATCGTACACTACATTACTAAGTCGGATTACCAATCACGTCGCTGCGGAATGGCACCTAAATGGACGTCGTACACTTTTCGTACATCGAAGCCTTTGTGGTGTCTGTTGTCCCAAGGAATCGCTTCTCGTTCTCCATCCCAGCTTGACCCAAACTTCCACGTTATAGCAGACTCCATGACTTGGGCGCATCCCACACGCGACGTCGAGTCTACATGACTCTGCCTAGACCCAAATCCCGCGAGACAGGTAAAGTGGCTGCTCGTCTAGCCATTGGAGACCGCGAGCGGTCGGAGGACATGGGACTGAGAAACCCTAATGAGGAAACAACATTTTCTTTGAATTGCTGCCCTTGGCCCTGAAGGATCTCCTTGGTTTCGGGGCCCAGCATCGCTGGATATGGGTTTCGACCGGGCTCTGGCGTTCCTGGAGGCGACGAATTCGGCGACTGTGTTGGTTCCGATCCCGTGACGAGACTGGGAATGGCATCAGCGGAAGATCCGGGAGTCAACGCTCTGGAATGCCCCGGTAGACCGATGCGGCTCCGCTCTCCTTCCCCGACCACGACAGATATTGACAGATCGACACTCTGCCGTCTGTCCAAGGCGGCCATGGCCGGTATTTCGACTTGTTCGTGCCGTTGGGCATACACTTCTGCCAACTTCTTAGCCGCATGTCTCAGCCCCGTCAGGACTGCTGGGTCTTGCAGGTAGGCTTGTGTTCTTTCCTCGATGATTCCGGTGCCGTCGACGCCCGATGCGGCCCGCCAGTCGTCCAGCTGAATGTCATGAATCCCGGTATCGGCGCTGAATCGTTTGAAGAAGAGCTGATCAGGATGGTCCTCCGACAGGTAACGCAACTGTTCCGCTGGCTGCTCCGAGTCTGTTGCCATCTTCACCAGATCAGAGACCAGGCCCATTGCTTTGAGGAGACCATTGGGCACAAGTCTCGTCCACCACGGTCGCTGTTGTAGCCGGCCCACGTTCGCATCGGCAGGGACACTGCCCGTGTCAAGATTGATCATAACCAGCTGTCGGTTCGTTGTGACATCGTGGTTTCGGTGGTAGTGAACCTGGCTTTCCCACGAAGGATTGTTACTGAGGCCGAAGCCCCCGTCCACGAAACTGCGGGTCTCAATCCTCATCTCGTTGAACTACAATTATTCATCAGCCTGCGCGGTTATTGATAGAGCCATAGTAATGACCTGTTTAATGACTTCGCGGTCTTTCGGGGGCCTGGGTGACTCACATATGATGGAGCTGCGCTGGTAGCACGTGCGGCATGCCGTAGTTCGAGATCGCACTTCAACATGTGTTGTTGATATGGGCCCCGACATTCTTGCGTACAGAAGAAAACGGAATGAGGCTGTTGCACTTCGTGACAGAGAACCGTCCTTTCGAGCTGTCAGCTTTCGTATCCGGCGGATCACAAGAATCGTGCCAAAATACCCTCTCATGCTGTTTTGTCTACGACCAGATCGCATCATCAGTGTGATCGGTTGGTCTCTGGATTTCAATAATTTCTCCACCGCTTCTTGAAGCCTCTTCCCGGAGTACTTGGACCAATCAGATCCGAACACTCTCTTCAGCAGCGGGCGACTTTGCGAGAAGACATGCCGAGAGAGCTCCTTGTATTGTTGGATGCATTCTTCTATCGACATGTCCAGTTTGACCATCATAAGGACGATTAACCTGGCATTGAATTAGCTCGTGCAGTTCGCTGAGGGCTGTCAGCTCACCCGCCGGTACTTGTGCCAGTGGCAACGTCAAACACGTCTTGAGGCTTAATAGTGGCATGGCCCCTTGGTATTACTCCGGCGTCGATGAGTTCCTCCGTGACAAGAGCTAGTAGCAGCTGAAGGATTAGGAGGGAGGAGAGTCCGCGAACACCCCCACCATCTAGATGAGCCGTTAGCATGACTTCAGCATCCGCAGAGTTCAACTCCGTACCGAGACAAACCATCGCAACCGGCCGTAGTCTTTTGCCCATCGGCGGCTCGACGGAGGCGTCAGCAGACATGGCGTGACTCGGCCGCTGGTATGCCTGAACAGCAGATACGCCGAGATCAGGGATCAGGTGTGTCAGGCTGAAGGTTAAAGTAGCTTTCTTCGTGATAGTTAACTAGCACTCCATAACGACAAAGGAGACTGCGCATCTTAAAGGAGAATTGCCGCTCAACAATGACCACGTCATGTGGTGGCATCTGAGCCATTTGCGATGCATTTCGACGTTTCTGACTTACAGGAAACTTGAATGGCACAGCATCTCCTGCAGGCCGCCGCAAGAGGTATTCTGCAGACCTACGAAAGTTCCAGCAGCCTTGACTCACTTCACTTAACCCTCGGCACCAAGACAGCACCCTATACCACTGAGTCATACAAGTCAATCACGAGGCAGACTTCAGGCGGCCTGCTGTGTGATAGGTGAGGCGGACGCCGAAAGGCTGCCGGGCTGCAATAGAGTGTGGCGAGGCGAGGCTGAAGCGGCGGCGGACAACCTGACCGGTGAGATGGTTCGCTTTTGGTTGCCTTCCAAGGCAGCGGTAACCGCGGCAGGTGATACAAACAGTCGCACGATTCGGACAGCAGACGTCTGGAATGGACGCGGATAGACGAGCAAAAACAGGGTTATCTGTGGTGGCAGTGAGAGAAGGTGTCACTCACTGCCTTGCGGGAAGTAAAGCCCCCAAGCGTCTTCAGATCCGTCAATCAACCATGCGGCCGAGACATCTGCAAAAGCAAAGTGTCTTCTCTTTTGGTCGCAGCAGAATCTTCTGATCATTTCCTCTCCGGCCGTATGAACAAATCGAGCACAGAGGAAATGAATACATCACGGCCACTCAAAATTCTTACCCTAGGTATGTTTCGGACTTTGAAGGCGCATAGCTTTCAGGCCTTCGTTTGTACGAAATCCTGACTCCGGCCAGATGGTGGTGGGCTCCAGGCACTGGCCACATTAAGCAGCCTCAATGCTGTTTGCAGAGCCATAGCCAAACAGCACGGCGCGGATCGACCTCCAGCACCACACGAGTTGTTCGACATCATCGCTGGTGTCGGCACTGGCGGGTGAGTGACCGAAAAGTCGTCTCCTCAATTGACGGCTGACAAGGTTCCAGATGGATTGCACTTCTCCTAGGGCGATACCGACTTGACATCGCAACATGCACTGCGATATACATGGAGCTTGCAACAAAAGTTGACCCCGACCCCGACAACGCGTATCCTGCGACGAGAAAGCGCTTATTCAAGTTGGATCAAGATCGACTCATCAAGGTGGTTGAGGAAGTCCTCCAACGATACGGCCTCGATACTGCTCTACTTCGAGGGGAAAATTGCTCAACTGAGGGAAGGCCAAAATTTAACCGATGCAAATATGCGTACGTGTTGTTCCCAAGTTTGCCGATGGATTCTGACCCAGAAAGATTTGCGGCCGCCGTGGTCCCCTACGAGGACAATCAGTCTGCAACATATGAGCTCTTCAGATCTTACCATGCCACAGAGTTCCAAACAGACTTGGTGCTTCACGGACCAGAGCCAGCAGATTGTCGGATGCCGGAAGTCTTCGCGGCCACTGGTGCGGCGAAATTCTTTTTGAACCCGTATAAGATTGGAAACACGACCTTCTTCGATGAGACATTTCCCCAGTCTCATCCTATTTCTTCCGTTGCACTTGATGAGGCGAAATGTCTCTACGGTCGTGAGGTCGAGATCTCGATCCTGCTGAACATTGGTCCTGGCATCCCGGCCGACAAAGATTGCCAGGAGCTTGATCTGATGGCTCTCGATCCGATAAGTCGTCTTGTGCGCAGGTTTAGTTGGACCTCCGGAAGACGCCTCTCGCTCCGGCAGAAATTGTTGTCCATCGGGATGCCCCAGCCGACTATTGAGAAGGGCCCCGGACTCACGAGCCCAAGTGAGAAGGCGCTCAGGCTGGAGGGCCGAAGAAGAGAAGATATCAGAGCCACATTAGAGGAAACATACGGGCCTTCGGGAGCAGAGAGATATCATCATCTGGGGCCAGCATATTCCGCAGAGCAAGCATCTCTGAATGACGTCCATGCTCTTCGTCTCCCGCGGGGAGACTTTGATGATCTGAAGAAACAAAGCATAGCCGAGGCAGAGGGCATGGTCAGGAAGGTATGGTTTAACGCCGCAGCCTGAAGGTGCGTGAGGCAAGGTGAACAACAGAAGCGAGAGTCACCGTTGGTTTCCTGGGCTCGAATTACTACATGACGAATCCAATTGATGCGTTTGCAACTTACCACACGCTTATCGGGCTTCTCAACTCAGAGTCGCAAGCTCATGCTGAGGGCAGCACAGCAGGGCGCTCTTCCAATTGGCTGTTGCTGAACAATTGTGGCTGCTTGATGCTCGTGTAGCAAGGACAGCATTTGCTTTTGTTGGTTGTGGTTTGCCATCAGCAAGCTGTCGAAGCGAAAAGCCGGATGGGAAGCAAGCTACCGCCAGCTACTGCATGATGAACGGCCGCATGGGAAAGACATAACCAAGCAATGACAAGCTCGCTAGATCCCGTGCGTGATGGGCAGCACGTTTGTGGATGGAGGATGATCTTGATGAGTCAATTGGTGCCTGAAGGATGATCCAGTGAGAAGGACGATGACGGAAGGCATCGTGTTGTTCCGTCCAACCTGTGAGGCCGTGTTGCCACTTAGGTGGCCCTCCGGGGGCCCCCACTGAAATGTTTAGGTGACATCCCTGCTGGTCGCGTACCCCTCGCCCGGCTCACCTGTCATTTCGCGCACACCCCACCAACAGCTCATCCCAGGCTAACCATGATTGGATACTGAGTTGATCTCTCAGCAGACGCTCATCCACTCATCAGCTCACCCTTTCACCTTCTCAAGATCCGAGCATATCCTCACTCAGAGCTTCGTCATGCACTGACGGCAACCTGGAACCATGAGAGCAAGAGCTCGCTGTTTACCCAATCACCATGTGTCACACCAATCACCTGTAGCTTCAGCTTCGGCCGTCCTCACTTGAGCTGGCAGGTCTGGCAGAACAAAATCCTGCACAGCTGTAGTTGCTCACTCTTGATCTTTTCCTCTTCTCACACCTGTCTAAGGTTTGGATCTTGGTCGAACACTGATTTACTGCGACACAGGTTTGCCCTCTCTGTGACCTCGTCTGTTCCTCTCTTCCGTCCTGATTTCATCTGTCCTCCAAACTTCGTTTGCTGTTGCAAGACTCCTTCAGTCAACATGGTCCACCTAGCCCAGGTCCGGAAGCCTCCAAGCCATCACAGTGAGAAGAGCGAGTTCGGAGGTCCCAGACGCCGGTCGTCTGTAGTGCCTGGCCTTGAGCACATCTCTCTTGAACCTCCCGGGGAAGATGAGTTCTCGACGTCCGTCTACGGGTCCCGCTTCGCAGCCGAAGACCTTCCCGCACACGAGATGCCTGAAAAGGAGATGCCAAAGGAGATTGCGTACCGCATGATTAAAGACGAACTTAGCCTCGATGGGAACCCTATGCTGAAGTGAGTGTGCGAACTGAAAGCATCTTGAAGCATCTAACCAAATTGGTGAATAGTTTGGCAAGCTTTGTCACGACCTTCATGGTAGGCATCCCTCAACTGTCGGCACCTATATTACAGGTCTGCGATGGCTAATAGACGTATCAGGAAGATGAAGCTGAGAAGCTCATGGCGGAGGCCTTCTCCAAGAATTTCATTGACTACGAGGAATACCCCCAGTCTGCCGAGATCCAGAACCGTTGCGTTAACATGATTGCCCGTCTCTACAATGCCCCCGAATCCGAAGGCGGGAAGAATGCGATGGGCACGTCCACTATTGGCTCCAGTGAGGCCATCATGCTAGCTGTCTTGGCCATGAAGAAGAGATGGGCAAACAAGCGTAAAGCCGCAGGGAAAGATTTCTCGAGACCCAATATCATCATGAACAGTGCCGTCCAAGTGTGTTGGGAGAAGGCCGCCCGCTACTTCGACGTGGAGGAAAAATATGTCTACTGCACAGAAGACCGTTACGTCATTGACCCCGAAGAGGCAGTCAGCCTGGTCGACGAGAACACCATCGGCATCTGCACCATTCTTGGCTTGACCTACACGGGCGAGTACGAAGACACCCAGATGATCAACGACTTGCTGGTGGAGAAGAACATCGACTGCCCAATCCATGTGGACGCAGCATCAGGTGGCTTCGTCGCGCCTTTTGTCAACCCAAATCTTGTGTGGGACTTCCGCTTGGAGAAGGTCGTCAGTATCAATGTGTCAGGTCACAAATACGGTCTTGTCTATCCTGGTGTGGGTTGGGTCGTCTGGAGATCGCCAGACTTCCTCCCCAAGGAGCTCGTTTTCAACATCAACTACCTGGGTGCCGACCAAGCTTCTTTCACATTGAACTTTAGCAAAGGTGCCAGTCATGTCATTGCTCAGTACTACCAGATGATCAGACTGGGAAAGAGAGGCTATCGCAGCATCATGCTCAACCTCACCCGCACCTCGGACTACTTGGCTGCGCAACTCCGGGCTCTGGGCTTTATCCTGATGTCACCTGGTGGTGGCCGCTCCCTCCCCGTGGTTGCCTTCCGCCTTGATCCTGATAACGACCAGTTGTTCGATGAGTTTGCGATTGCTCATCAACTTCGAGAGCGTGGTTGGGTCGTGCCTGCATATACCATGGCTCCCCACAGTGAAAGCCTCAAGTTGATGCGTGTGGTGGTCCGTGAAGATTTCAGCAAGCAACGCTGCGACGCTCTCGTCACTGACATCAAGATGGCTCTGCAAACGCTTGGTGATATGGACAAGAAGACCATGGAGCGCTACACCGAGTAGGTTTCCTATCAAAGAATCCTTCACATATACAGCCACTGACTGATTTGGTAGACACGTGAAGAAGACTCACCACAGAACAGGCAAGGCCGGCAGCAACATGGAGAATTACAAGGATGAAAAGCATTCTCTGCAAGGCAAGCACGGAAAGACTCATGCCATTTGCTAAATTCTTTCTGTGCATTTGAGAGAATGTGAGATCAATGCCTCTGTTCTGCAGGCTCCTATGTATCCCGAACAGAAGATACCAGATAGAAGTTGCAGGAACCGATGCATACCACAGCCGTGCCTTGCATTCTAGCTATGACAACGCGTTTTTTAACGGATGGTCCAAAGTAGCTGTCAATCCTCCGAAGTATGTACAGAGGTGACTTGGAGGGGCACTAGATGCCCAGAAGCACGGCGCATACTGTAAGTTGAATTAACGCCGAGACGCCCAGGGCCATCTTCGAATCGGCGTCGCGTATCTCGTACTCTGGACTCGTGTTCTATGACGCTTCCTTCCCGCACTACGCAAACTTCCTCTCCCTTTCACATGATCTTCTGGGGCAGCTTCTCGTTGTATGACGCAACAGCCAGAAATGTGACGGATTGCAATTGCACGCTGAACCGCCTAGCAGTAGGTCATAGGTAGGAAGTCACCCGCAGTCAGGTGGCAGTGAGCCGTTTCATCATATTGTGTCATTGTTGATGGGCAGATGCCCCTCGTCCAATATATCCACGCAGCCAGGACTCACCACTCCCTGGCCTACACTCATACACTCATACATCCATAGCAAAGGTTACACGATCAATCCCATCACCTACATAAACACTATCAGCATATTGCAAAGGGAAACCGCCAGAATGACGCCCAACATCACCAAAGGTCAAACCGACACCTCGAAGTTCACCGGCGAGGGGCCCGCCTCGAAGGACGCTCACCCGAACAAGAATCCCGTCCAGGAATATAACCCTGCACCGGGCGCAAAAGTACGTCTCTCTCTCTCTCTGTCTGCCACGCTGTCATGGTGAAAGCTTCGATTGACACCACAATCTATCTCCAGGCCCCGGCACTCAGCTCCGACGGCGCCATCGGCAAGCAATTCACAGCGGAGTGAGTCTCAGATCCGTGACCGTGACGGCGGTCCCAGCTCTCCATTCTTGAGCCTCAGCCACTGACCATCGCTTCCCACAGTGGTTCCATCGGCAGCATACCTCAGAGTATCGGTGGCCCATTGGACCAGAATGGAGTCATAGGACATGCATTCAAAGAGGATGGCGCCATCGGCGGCACGATGAATAAAGTCCTGGGACATACACCTGGAGACAAGCCTACGAATGGTTGAGCGGCCGAAGGGGGAAGTACTGTTTCGCTGAGGGAAGGATGAAGACTTCGACTTTGAAGAACCCTTGTTTGTACAGATATGTCTTTTTTAACAGAGAAGAATCGGAATTAAAAGAAACGATTCCCTGGTAGATAGGACTTGGCTGGGCCCTGCCTACTAGCCTATGCCATCCTGTGGATGTACACTACCCCCGGCGGGGAATTGTTCAAACTACAAGGTATCCAGATGTTCGTGGTGTTGACGGATCCTCGCGTCATGGTCTTTACGTCGAGCCTTCCTCAACTTACATTAGCAGAGCACTCGGAAGAGCAGTAACGCCTTGAGGGCCGCTGGCATGCATAAGGTACACACCATTCGAGGTCTCTGAAGAGGAGAGATGAGTTTGTTCATCGGCACAGTATGCTATCCTATCCTATCCTGACTTGCCATGGTGTCTGGTGTCTGGTGTCTGATGTCTGGTGTCTCGTGTCGGTACATCCGTGTCCATTCATTCGCCGAGCAGCAGTATACCATTCGCACTGTAGTACGCGTTACTTGTTCCTGTATTGAATTCGACACCCTAGCACTTGTCCGACGTTGAATCAAACTTCGGTGTCTGTCAATAGCACCTTTGCAATTCTTCCAGACGAGATACCCAATGATCATTCCGACGCCGCTCTGCCATGTGTGTGTGTGTGTGCACGCGCATTGACTGTCCAGCTTGCCAGTCACGTCCTCTCATACACTTCATCCACCCACCGGTCAGTCGGTCGGTAGTGCTTCGCAACCAGACTGCGTGCAGGGGGTGCTTCTTCGGTCCCAGGCTGCGGCGCAGCATGCCACGGATCACACGGCACCAGCGGACCGATACGTCCGTAATCATGGTCGCGTGTAAACCGATTGGCACGACCAGCATTGGTTCTGGTGTAGACTGTTCTTCCCAAAAGGATGGCAAACCTTCTCCCTACTCTTCGTTCCCTGTTACCAAGTAGATACGCCTGGTACTGGACGTACGTGAGTCTGGCTGGGTGGAGTTGTGTCATGAC